AATTCTGGTCCAATCTAATTCATCTTCTCTTGATTCAGACTCACCAGATAAATCATTGATTGTAGTTTGGGCAATCTTTAATGATTTATTTTGGTATTTTTCATGTATATCTGACTCAACAATTTTCATATAATGCTCATGGCAAAGTTCATTTCCTTCTTCTATGAAGTTGTAACTACCTTCTGGATGTTTGGTTTTTATTTTTTCAATTGCAAGACTGGTCATCTTTCTAAATCTACGTGCATTTTCATAATTACATTCAGGTATAACACAGGGACCAAGGTTTTTTGCTTTAGGCATGATTGGTTTTAATGAATAAGATTAATAAGATAGGTTAAATTTATTGAATTTAGTTTTAATATTTTTAGGAGATTGTTTTGAGAGTTTATTTTATTTTCAATCAGAATGATTTTACAAGAATAAAAATTTTTGGCCTTTATATATTTGAATGAATTTTTTAAATTCTTTGTTCTCAGATCAATAAAGATTATGCTAAATTGTTTTGTTGACATGATTGATAAAGAAAACAGAAAAAAAGATATACAGTATAATCCTTGTTTCAATGGACTTCATTTCAACAGATTTTAAAAATCTTTGTATTTTAATTTGTTACACATTATTATTATGAAAGTAATTTCATTATACTGTAGTAGTTTGTAACCTATAATAAACAATAAATAGAAAATTAACAATGACTATTTGTTGACATGGTTGATAAAGGAAAGCAGAAAAGGGACAAAAGAAACAAAATAACTTTGTAAAAAAGAAATAGAAAGAATTCTTTGTAGCCTATAAATAAAAAGGAGCCTTTTCAATTATAAATTTTAAAAGCTTACTTTTTAACAAAGTTCAAAAAAAAACAAAGAAACGTTAATATTAATTAACAACGGATTTTACAATTTTACGTGTAACATGAAAATGTGATAATTACGAATGTCGATCAAATTCAAATTTCTACCATGCTGGTCTAAAACCAAACCTTTTTATACCTCTTGAGGTATTACAAATAACATGACCTTTACAATATTTTATCCAATAAAATATTTTCTGTATTATTAGCTTACTAATTGCTAATTACTACAGTCAGGATTATTACCAAATATGGAATTTCCAAATACTGTAAGGATAGATAATCTAGAAATCTTTTAGAAAAAAAATCAAAACAAAAGTGATTGGCTAATTTTATGCAGATCTTTTCTTTGAAAAAAAATTGGTAAATAAAATAAATTAAAAATAATGCTTTTTTATGAAGAAAACGTGGTGAAGGCTTTATTAAATGGTCATATAACCT